CGGTAACTTTTTTCCATATCTTTATTCATGGCGACGTAGTTAATGCTCAAACTTGGGAGGTATCCCCCCAGAAAAATCCAGTCGAGCCACCCTAAACCTAAAACTAAATCTTCAGTTTATCATAAACGTCTTATAACTACTCATAACATTAAAAATTTTCGTTCCCATCTTTGTTCTATTAATTGGGATTTCTCACAATCTTCCTCTTCAAATGCATCGTACAATTCTTTTATGGACTGTCTTTATCCAATCTATGAAACATGCTTTCCTGTTAAGATTACCACTGTCAAAGAAAATTCAAAAGCCAAACCGTAGTTTACCTCAGGGCTCCAAAACTCCTGTCGTAGGAGGTACACTCATAAAAACAATATTGTAATAATCCTACACCTGCTAACAAAGCTACATACACCAAACTCCGTAACAAATACAACTATCTAATCAAACTATGTAGGAAAAAGTACTACCATGATAAATTGTCTTCTATTACGTTCATCACTAAAACAAACCTGGTCCTTAATTAAATCTGTTATCTCTTCTAAACATTCCAGTTATGGACCTACTGCCATGAAGGACAACAGAGGTAACACTATTGACAACCCTCAATTAATTGCTAATAAGTTTAATGAATTCTTTACTAACATTGGTCCTTCTCTTGCCACTAAAATTCCCCACTCCACTGTTGACCACAAATCATATTTGATTGGTTATTTAGTGATAGCTTCTTTGCTTCACCTACTACCCCTGATGAAATTATCAATATAGTGTCCTCTCTGAAGAGTAGTAACAGTGAGGGAGTGGACGGTATTAATGTCAATGTGATTAAAGCATCTATTGATCTCTTGGCATCTCCCCTCTCTCAAATGTGCAATATCTCCTTTTCGACTGGCATTGTGCCTGATAAGCTTAAAATCAGCAAAGTACCTCCCATATTCAAAAGTGAAGATAGCACTAACTTCACTAATTATAGGCCCATCTCAATCTTGCCTTGCTTCTCTAAAATCCTTGAGAGTGCCATGTATCGTCGTCTAATGGACTATCTCACTAAACATAGCATACTCAATAATCATCAGTATGGGTTTAGAAAGAAACATTCTACTTTTATGGCAATACTGGAACTTACTAATAAAATATTTGATTCATTTGAGAAGAACGAATTCACAATTGGCATATTCATTGATCTAAAGAAGGCATTTGATACCGTTTATCACTCCATCCTCTTAGATACATTAAACTTCTATGGTATTCGAGGCACACCTTTTAGCTGGATGCATAGCTATCTCCTCTCTCGCTCTCAATATGTTCAAATTGATTCCTGGAATTCTCCACTGCTTCCAATTAAATGTGGTGTTCCTCGGGGTTCTGTGTTAGGGCCACTTTTATTTCTTAAATACATTAATGGCATTTTTTCATGCTCTAATTATCTCTCATTCATCCTTTTTGCAGACGACACTAATATTTTCTTTCAACACAAAAATATCTCTGAACTAAAATTGTGAACCATGAACTTTCTTTTGTGGCTACCTGGTTCAAAGCTAACAAGCTAACTTTGCATCCCGACAAGACTAAATTTACTTTGTTTCACCCTGCAAGAAAGAAAATAAATCTTGATGGTCTTTCTATTAACATTGATAAGAATAGTATTAATAGAGTAGAACACACAGAATTCTTAGGTGTTATCATCCACCAAAACCTCTCATGGCAGGCTTATATAAAAGCCATTTCTTCCAAAATTGCCAAATCCACTGGGATTATTATCAAATCACGACAGTTTTTCCTTTCTAATACTCTTTCCACATTATACAACTCTTTAATACTCCCATTTTTTCAATACTGTTCTATTATTTGGGCATCCACATACTCTTCTCCTCTACAACCCCTTTTCCGTCTCTAGAGGAAAGCTTTAAGAATCATTACTCATTCTCCACCACGTGCACATACTTACTCGCTCTTTAACAAATTCAAAATACTCAACATATTTAATATTTATAAGTACCAACTTTCTTGCTTTGTTTTCCTTCACATGCAGAAGCTCTTGCCCTCTCCTCTTTCATCTCTTTTCGTTCTTAACTCTGATTGTCATCAATATCTCACCAGGCAGAAAGACAACTTATATCTTCGTACTCACAAATATTCTCTTTCTCTTCGGGTACAGGGTCCTCAAATTTGGAATGACATTCTCACTTTGTAATTCACTTACTCTTCCTAGTTATAAACATAAACTGAGGGATTATTTGCAATCATTATAAGTTTAAACTAAGTTGAACTCCAACTTTTTTCTACCTTCAAACTCTTTTCTTTATTACTTTTTACACACTATCATTAATTCTTATGTTTATTGATGCTTTACATGCAGTGATAATTCTTTATGTGTTGTAATAGTTTGCCTTTTCTCAGTAAATCTTGTAGTTATTAATTTTTATTCTCATTGTAACTTAGCAGCACATTGTAACTCTCTGACCTACGGCATATAAGCCTCTGGCTTTGGCATCTTATTATCGTT